AAAAAAAAAAAAAAAAAAAAAAACAGTTGAATTTTTTATTTATCGTGGGATGGGCCGAGAGGATAGATAAGATTGACGAACCGGGTTCCATAGCACATCACTGTACTCCCGCTTGGTTGAAAGTAATGGTTGAACCACAGTCGATAAAGATTCACGCAAGTCAGTCATTGCCACCGTTCCGTCTTCGCTTGCAGATAAAAATACGTCTGGGTCCCGTGGATGGCAAGCTACTCTTCGACAAGAGGTCTGAAAACAACCACAAAGATATAGAGCGTGAGATTAATAACGTAGGACTGAATTAAAAAAATAATGATTTTTAAAGATTTTACAGTATGAGGTGTGATGATTCGAGAAGGGTGAGAAGCTTTAGGCGTTTGTGCTGTTGGTCTTAACGATCTACCAGATCGCTCAAGATCCCAAACATAAATTCTTGAATCCAAACCAGTCCTAAAAATACAAAATGAGTGATGGAATGGAATAACCCAAGTTGATAACTGATAACCCCCAATGGCTTAGAGAAGAGCACGTACGCCAAAATTCGATTTCCATCGATTGTAAAATCTACTGAGAATATATTCGCTTCTGGTCCATCGTAAGCAGCCACAGGTGTGATTTGATCAAAGTCACCAAAAAGGTCCCAAAGTAAGACTATAGTATCATCACCAGCAGTAGCTAGCCATCGTCCTTGACTTGAGTTACTGAAACAGATAGCGTTAACACAACCTTGGTGAGATGAGAGATCGAATGAGTAAGGATAATCTAATGAGTCAGCTTGATTGAGATCGTGAGGGAGGTTTGAGGAAGTGGTTTGATTGAGGTCACGAGAGTGTCGAATACGAGATCGAGATCGAGGTTGAGGTTGAGGTTGTAATGAAGTCTTGAAGTTCATCACGATTCACAATCTGATACTCTCTCAGTCCCTCACAAGCTCTCAATGCCTTCGAGTAGTAAGTAACCGGCCGGCGCACTTTTGCTGAACCTGCGGGCAGCTGAGCGCCTTAAACTGGTAAGAGTACCGATCTCTTGAGTCCAAACTCTGATACCCACCCAATAGTCAGACACTCTCAACCCTGGATTGGCTC